GTTGAGTTGATGCCAAAGAGCTCGATTTTGGTCTCATCTGACCACAACACTTTCACTCAGTTCTCCTCTGAATCATTCAGATATTCATTGGCAAACTTCAAACGGGCCTGTATATGTGCTTTCTTGAGCAGGGGGACCTTGCGGGCGCTGCAGGATATCAGTCCTTGACGGCATAGTGTGTTACCAATTGTTTTCTTGGTGACTATGGTCCCAGCTGCCTTGAGGTCATTGACAAGATCCTCCCGTGTAGTTCTGGGCTGATTCCTCACCGTTCTCATGATCATTGCAACTCCATGAGGTGAGAACTTGCATGGAGCCCCAGGCCGAGGGAGATTGACAGTTATTTTGTGTTTCTTCCATTTGCGAATAATCGCACCAACTGTTGTCACCTTCTCACCAAGCTGCTTGGCGATGGTCTTGTAGCCCATTCCAGCCTTGTGTAGGTCTACAATCTTGTCCCTGACATCCTTGGAGAGCTCTTTGGTCTTGGCCATGGTGGAGAGTTTGGAATCTGATTGATTGATTGCTTCTGTGGACAGGTGTCTTTTATACAGGTAACAAACTGAGATTAGGAGCACTCCCTTTAAGAGTGTGCTCCTAATCTCAGCTCGTTACCTGTATAAAAGACACCTGGGAGCCAGAAATCTTTCTTATTGAGAGGGGGACAAATACTTATTTCCCTCATTAAAATGCAAATCAATTTATAACATTTTTGACATGCGTTTTTCTGGATTATTTTGTTGTTATTCTGTCTATCACTGTTCAAATAAACCTACCATAAAAATTATAGACTGATCATTTCTTTGTCAGTGGGCAAACGTACAAAATCAGCAGGGGATCAAATACTTTTTTCCCTCACTGTAGCTAGCCAGTAACTAGCTAACACCAGACACAGATGAAAGGGGGAACATATAAGTATGTTTGCCATAGATGAATAGGGTAAACTTTTAATTATATTTGGCACCAGTAGAGTAGCAATCTAGCTATATAAACCACACCCCTCTGCAAACACACCTTCTCAAATGTTGACCTAAAGCCATGACTAGTAGCGACACCTAGTGGGGCAATACCAGCCGAACACTATACATACATGAGGCACTGACGTATGCGGTTCATTTTGTGCGACCACGAGTAAAGTACAGTTCAATGATTCCCGTGAGTCCGAGTCAAGTCAATATATTACAGCGTGCCTTGTAAGAGGCTATATTTGTTGCACCCATTAGTGAGAATGCTGTATTCCCACAGAATACGGTAATATACTGTATTTTAGGAATTCTACAAACCTTGTCCTCAAACTCTACAGTAACTTACTGGCCAATTGCTGCCAGTAATTTACTGTAATTCAGAATATAGTACCATACGGCATTTTTGGAGCGGCAAATACCTTTTAATTAGTGGGTGCATGGTATTGTTGTTTCTCACTCATTAACATATTTTAACGGGTGCCTTGTAAGTGGATATATTTGTTGCACCGTTTAGTGAGAGTCCTGTACCAATTTAAGCAATATGTGGTAGTGGTTCTCTATCAATAAATGTACAGTGGGGAAAAAAAGTATTTAGTCAGCCACCAATTGTGCAAGTTCTCCCACTTAAAAATATGAGAGAGGCCTGTAATTTTCATCATTGGTACACGTCAACTATGACAGACAAAATGAGAAAAATATTTCCAAAAAATCATATTGTAGGATTTTTTATGAATTTACTTGCAAATTATGGTGGAAAATAAGTATTTGGTCAATAACAAAAGCTTCTCAATGCTTTGTTATATACCCTTTGTTGGCAATGACACAGGTCAAACGTTTTCTGTAAGTCTTCACAAGGTTTTCACACACTGTTGCTGGTATTTTTGCCCATTCCTCCATGCAGATCTCCTCTAGAGCAGTGATGTTTTGGGGCTGTCGCTGGGCAACACAGACTTTCAACTCCCTCCAAAGATTTTCTATGGGGTTGAGATCTGGAGACTGGCTAGGCCACTCCAGGACCTTGAAATGCTTCTTACGAAGCCACTCCTTCGTTGCCCGGGCGGTGTGTTTGGGATCATTGTCATGCTGAAAGACCCGGCCACGATTCATCTTCAATGCCCTTGCTGATGGAAGGAGGTTTACACTCAAAATCTCACGATACATGGACCCATTCATTCTTTCCTTTACACGGATCAGTCGTCCTGGTCCCTTTGCAGAAAAACAGCCCCAAAGCATGATGTTTCCACCCCCATGCTTCACAGTAGGTATGGTGTTCTTTGGATGCAACTCAGCATTCTTTGTCCTCCAAACACGACGAGTTGAGTTTTTACCAAAAAGTTATATTTTGGTTTCATCTGACCATATGACATTCTCCCAATCCTCTTCTGGATCATCCAAATGCACTCTAGAAAACTTCAGACGGGCCTGGACATGTACTGGCTTAAACAGGGGGACACGTCTGGCACTGCAGGATTTGAGTCCCTGGCGGCGTAGTGTGTTACTGATGGTAGGCTTTGTTACTTTGGTCCCAGCTCTCTGCAGGTCATTCACTAGGTCCCCCCGTGTGGTTCTGGGATTTTTGCTCACCGTTCTTGTGATCATTTTGACCCCACGGGGTGAGATCTTGCGTGGAGCCCCAGATCGAGGGAGATTATCAGTGGTCTTGTATGTCTTCCATTTCCTAATAATTGCTCCCACAGTTGATTTCTTCAAACCAAGCTGCTTACCTATTGCAGATTCAGTCTTCCCAGCCTGGTGCAGGTCTACAATTTTGTTTCTGGTGTCCTTTGACAGCTCTTTGGTCTTGGCCATAGTGGAGTTTGGAGTGTGACTGTTTGAGGTTGTGGACAGGTGTCTTTTATACTGATAACAAGTTCAAACAGGTGCCATTAATACAGGTAACGAGTGGAGGACAGAGGAGCCTCTTAAAGAAGAAGTTACAGGTCTGTGAGAGCCAGAAATCTTGCTTGTTTGTAGGTGACCAAATACTTATTTTCCACCATAATTTGCAAATAAATTCATAAAAAATCCTACAATGTGATTTTCTGGAGAAAAAAATTCTCAATTTGTCTGTCATAGTTGACGTGTACCTATGATGAAAATTACAGGCCTCTCTCATCTTTTTAAGTGGGAGAACTTGCACAATTGGTGGCTGACTAAATACTTTTTTCCCCCACTGTATTAAGGGAACATATCAAAGTTGTAGTGGGTCTTAAACCTTTTAATGATTGAATAGTTACCCATGTCTATTTGATCTGTTTTGCCCTGTAATCACGGCCAGTTTGAAAGCTTTTGTTTAGGCCTCTAGAAGTGATATAAAACACCTAGTGTTCTTTAATATGCAAATGCCTACAGCCAACATGCTTGCTCTAGTCCCTTCTAATTACAGTAAAATCATTTTCTTACAGGTTAGTATTCACTTTTACTGTATTGTACTGTTTCATTGCTCTGGCATCTAGTTAACGTGAATATTTCAGTATTGTATTTGCACTAACCAGAGATAGTAAGAGATATATAATAAGATATCTTGTTGTAATTACAATTATTTTGAATACCAATGTATCCTTAACTACAACAACATTTTCAGTAACAGTTACAGAAATGTTTTACTTGCTACGACTGTGCTGTGTTTTTTAAAAATGAACCTTGGTTGAATGCAGTGAATGTAAGTTTCTAAGGACAAAAGCGCCCGCTAAATGACCAAAATGTAAAAAAAAAAAGGGTAATATGTCGCTGCATGAGTAATTCCAGTAATATACTGTAAATTAGACTACAGTAAACATTTTGGTACAGTAAAATGGATTACCGTAAAATGGATTACAGTAGCTGCACTTTAAATAAATTACAGTAACTTACTGGACAATTGCAGCCAGTTACTGTACATTTTACAGGCAAGGTTTTACAGTGTATATACAGGTGGACAACACCTACAAATAGAACATAACTTTAATACCCTAAGAAAACGTTCTACATAACAGCTCCCAAAAGCTTTGGAGCATGGTCAGTGCCTGAAGGAAATGCTCATTCATGTCTTAGAAATCTTGTGACATCCCTAAAACAGCCCTAAATCTAGGATTATATTCTAATCCTGCATCAGGGAACACAAACATCCTTTGTGCAGAAGAATGCTACAACAGTCAACATTATGGAACAATGACTCATGTGGCCTTGGACCATTCCATCTCTCTCGTTCAAGTCAAGCCGGTTAGATTTTTCTAAACCCACTTCAAAGACACTGTTTATTGAAGAGTTAGTGTCCACTAGTCATCGAATAGTAGAGTACGACACATTATGTCTGATTTTTAGATCAAAAGTGTCCGTCACGGATTATAATATCATAGTAAGACCTTGGCTCCACACCAGTTTAACGAATAAGAATGATATGACCACATTGGCTAGTCATTCATAAATGAGTATTTACCATTCTACTGTAGCTTGCTGATAAATTGTAATACTCAGGAGATGTTTTGTTATAATGGACGTACACTATTTGACATGAAATCCTTACAGTGCCTTCAGAAAACATTCATACCCCTTGACTTATTCCACATTTTGCTGTGTTATAGCCTGAATTCAAAACTGATTAAATAGATATTTCTCACCGATCTACACACAAAGTGAAAACATGTTTTTAGAAATGTTTGTTTTTCTTTATTGTTACTATTTTTTACATTGTAGAATAATAGTGAAGACATCAAAACTATGAAATAACACATATGGAATCATGTAGTAACCAAAAAAGTGTTAAACAAATCAAAATATATTTTATATTTAAGATTCTTCAAATATCCACCCTTTGCCTTGATAACATCTTTGCACACTCTTGGCATTTTTCTACAGAGCCCAAAGAAAATGATTGGCAGAAAACTGGTTATTCGTATCCGCCAGTTTGTCATTACTGCCGTGCGAAAGGACACATTGTCTCTCAGTGTCCTTAGTTGAAACAGAAAAATGAGATGGAGAAAAAGCATCTGGTTGGGACTGGTTTATCTCCTAAATAAGATTTTGGATCAGATGTGTATGAACCCTTTGTTTCAGAGGGGATTGTGTCTCTGCAGTGGAGAATATGTTAAACATCCTGGGAAGATACTGCGAGACACTGGGGCAGGCCAATCCTTCATTTTGGAGGGTGTTTTGCCTTTGTCTGACATTTCAGCAGCTGGTTACAGTGTGTTAGTTCAAGGTGTGGAGATGGGTTGCATGGAAGTTCCTTTATATAATGTCTAACTTAACTTATAAGAGTCTAAGCCACAGTATACAGAAGATAGCCCTATTTGGTAAAAGACCAACTCCATATTATGGAAAGAACGACTCAAATAAGCAAAGAGAAACGACAGTCCATCATAACTTTAAGACATGAAGGTCAGTCAATACGGAACATTTCAAGAACTTTGAACGTTTCTTCAAGTGCAGTTGCAAAAACCATCAAGCGCTATGATGAAACTGGCTCTCATGAGGACCACCATAGGAATGGAAGACCCAGAGTTACTTTAACTGCAGAGGATAAGTTCATTAGAGTTACCAGCCTCAGAAATTGCAGCCCAAATAAATGCTTCACAGAGTTCAAGTCACAGACAAATCTCAACATCAACTGTTCAGAGGGATAAGGGATATGGCCTCTTTTTTGGACAAAATATCATGGGAACATATTGCCAATGGGCAAAATGTCAGTGCTGAATGTGGATGTGGTGCAGGAATCAGGCGCAGGACACAGAGGCTTCGTCCAACAGACTTTAGTAACGATACGAAAACAAACGGGCCTCAAAAAGAGCCCGGAGGCAAGTGAAATTACGCACACACTGCGTAAAACACAAAGTACCAAAAATAGCGCGCACACAAGTACAGAAACTCTCTCCAAAACAATGGAGGAAACTAACTCAGCATCTGCTGACCGGAGAACAATTACACACAACACATGACTAAAACAACGAGAACTTATAGGACACATAATAAACACTAAACTGAAACAGGTGTACCAATAAGACAAAACCAAACAAACATCGAAAACATACAACGGTGGCAGCTAGTACTCCGGGGACGACGACCGCCGAAGCCTGCCCGAACAAGGAGGAGGAGCAGCCTCGGCCGAAACCGTGACCCAAAACATACACACAATTAAAAATACCACTCAAATGCCGGCATTTGCCATAGAACATATTGCAAATGTCATATGGCAAATGCCAACGTAGTAACTCAAAAATCCTGTAGGGGGTGAGCTCACTTAATCTTACGTAAGCATGTTGCAAATGTACTCGAAAGTCAAATTTGAGGGTGGAAATGAGTGTTCGTAAAAACTTCTCAATTATACATTATTAAAGAACCGTATGGATATAGATTTGTTTTATTATATGTTGGTTTGTCCATTAGGCCTATGGAATGTCCATATCAGGCATGTTACACTGCCAAATGGACAAGTTGTCCATTTGTCACACATTATATTGCAAATGGACAAAGTGTACTTTTGTCACATCGGATCACAGGAAGTCGGGTTCTGGACCCAAAAGTCAGAACCATGTCCAAATGGCATATGAAACATACAAATTATATATATATATAATGTCCAAATGTCATATGAAATGTCCAAATGTCATATGAAATGTCCAAATGGCATATTAAATGTCCAAATGGCATATTAAATGTCCAAATGACATATGTAAGTCTTGAAAGTACCAAATCAGTATGTCATGTCCATTTGCCAGATATGATCATAGGAAGTCAGTTCCAAAGCCAAAGTAAGTGAACCATGTCCAAATGGCCTGTATAATGACAACATGGTATATATATATATCAGTATGTTAGGTTCCACTCCCTCAATAGTTGGTGTTGAGTGCAGCCTGTCCATTTGGTGATGGTAAATCACTGCTTAAACAGTGTCCATTTGCAATATGATACATTGCCAGTGCTAATATGTTATACTGGACATGTTGGCACTGGCAATACATCACATGACAAATGGACACTGTCCAATTGCAGTATAACATGTTAAGACTGGCATGTACAAAAAGTCCATTAGAAATGTACAGTATGATTCAAACAGACATAGTGGTTCCTCTCCCCTCAATAGTTGGTTTTGAGTTCAGCCTGTCCATTTGGTGATGGTAAATCACTGCTTAAACAGTGTCCATTTGCAATATGATACATTGCCAGTGCTAATATGTTATACTGGACATGATGGCACTGGCAATACATCACATGACAAATGGACACTGTCCAATTGCAGTATAACATGTTAAGACTGGCATGTACAAAAAGTCCATTAGCAATGTACAGTATGAGTCAAACAGACATAGTGGATCCTCTCCATCAATAGTTGGTTTTGAGTTCAGCCTGTCCATTTGGTGATGGTAAATCACTGCTTAAACAGTGTCCATTTGCAATATGATACATTGCCAGTGCTAATATGTTATACTGGACATGTTGGCACTGGCAATACATCACATGACAAATGGACACTGTCCAATAGCAGTATAACATGTTAAGACTGGCAATGAATTATGGGTAATAGCAATATCTTACAATGGATCATGAATTGGACATGCTGTAATTTGCTATTACAAAGCTGAATTGCCCAAATGTAAAGCTCACTGAACTCGTGATGGCCTAGAAGTGATAGTGGGTCCTCTCCCTTACTCATTGGTGTTGATTTCAGCATGTCCATTTGGCTGATAATAAATTCCCATTGAAATGTATTGCAAATGTACTTGTCCGTTTGCAATTTGAAATACAGCCATTGCCAGTATAACATATTGGCATTGGCAATGTTTCATATGGCAAATGGACCTAGTACGTTTGCCATATGAAACATTGCCAATGCCAGTATAACATATTGGCATTGGCAATGTTTCATATGGCAAACGTACAAGTACATTTGCAATATGTTTGAATGGGCCTTTATTATGAGCCAAATGGACATGCTGTAATATGCTCTTACAATGCTGAAATGCACAAATGTAAAGCTTACTCAACTGGGGCTGGCCAAGAAATGATAGTGGATCCTCTCCATTACTCATTGGTGTTGATTTCAGCATGTCCATTTGGTAATGGTCAGTCACTGCTTAAACATATGACTAATGGACAGTCTCCATCATAATATGACTGGTAATGAATTATGTGTAATGGACACTGTCCAATAGCAATATCTACAATGGGCATTTATAACCACCAATTGGACATGCTGTAACATTGTCTTACAAAGCTTAAAAGCCACATTTTCAAGATTATTGAACTCGAGCTGGCCAACGAATGATAGTGGATCCTCTCCCCTTACTCATTGGTGTTGATTTCAGCATGTCCATTTGGCTCATAATGAATGCAGTGAATGTAAGTTGCTAAGGACAAAAGCGCCCGCTAAATGACCAAAATGTTTTTTAAAAAAGGGTAATATGTCGCTGCATGAGTAATTCCAGTAATATACTGTAAATTAGACTACAGTAAAATTGATTACCGTAAAATGGATTACAGTAGCTGTACTTTAAATAAATTACAGTAACTTACTGGCCAATTGCAGCCAGTAAGTTACTGTACATTTTACAGGCAAAGTTTTACAGTGTATATACAGGTGGACAACACCTACAAATAGAACATAACTTTAATACCCTAAGGAAACGTTCCACATAACAGCTCCCAAAAGCTTTGGAGCATGGTCAGTGCCTGAAAGAAATACTCATTCATGTCTTAGAAATCTTGTGACATCCCTAAAACAGCCCTAAATCTAGGATTATCTTCTAATCCTGCATCAGGGAACACAAACATCCTTTGTGCAGAAGAATGCTACAACAGTCAACATTATGGAACAATGACTCATGTGGCCTTGGACCATTCCATCTCTCTCGTTCAAGTCAAGCCGGTTTGATTTTTCTAAACCCTCTTCAAAGACACTGTTTATTGAAGAGTTAGTGTCCACTAGTCATCGAATAGTCCCCAAAGTATTTCTACTGTAACTGTAGAGAGTACGACACATTATGTCTGATTTTTAGATCAAAAGTGTCCGTCACGGATTATAATTTCATAGTAAGACCTTGGCTCCACACCAGTTTAACGAAAAAAAATGATATGACTACATTGGCTAGATGAGTATTTGTCATTACTGCCGTGCGAAAGGACACATTGTCTCTCAGTGTCCTTAGTTGAAACAGAAAAATTAGATGGAGAAAAAGCATCTGGTTGGGACTGGTTTATCTCCTAAATAAGATTTTGGATCAGATGTGTATGAACCCTTTGTTTCAGATGGGATTGTGTCTCTGCAGTGGAGAATATGTTAAACAGCCTGGGAAGATACTGAGAGACACTGGGGCAGGCCAATCCTTCATTTTGGAGGGTGTTTTGCCTTTGTCTGACATTTCAGCAGCTGGTTACAGTGTGTTAGTTCAAGGTGTGGAGATGGGTTGCATGGAAGTTCCTTTATATAATGTCTAACTCGAGTCTGGTCTTGTTACTCAGTCTGTCATGGAGTGGAGCCAAGCCTACTGGTGAAGGGGGTCTAAATACATTTTGGGCAACGATTTTGCTGACGGGAAGGTTGTGCCAAATCCTGTCATTTGTGAGGAACCCAGAGTAGAGGAACCTGATGGGTTATCAGAGAAATACCCTAGGGTGTTTTCGGCGTGTGCTGTTACAAGTGCTAGATCTAAGAAGATTGCAGAGAGTAGGGCCTCTATGCAATCCCTATCGCGGAAATTCAAAGGCAATGTTCCCGCGTTAGCAGAGACTGCATTTGCAGTAAATGCTGCAGATATCAGCTCAATAGGAAATTACCTTAACTTATAAGAGTCTAAGCCACAGTATACAGAAGATAGCCCTATTTGGTAAAAGACCAACTCCATATTATGGAAAGAACGACTCAAATAAGCAAAAAGAAACGACAGTCCATCATAACTTTAAGACATGAAGGTCAGTCAATACGGAACATTTCAAGAACTTTGAACGTTTCTTCAAGTGCAGTTGCAAAAACCATCAAGCGCTATGATGAAACTGGCTCTCATGAGGACCACCATAGGAATGGAAGACCCAGAGTTACTTCTGCTGCAGAGGATAAGTTCATTAGAGTTACCAGCCTCAGAAATTGCAGCCCAAATAAATGCTTCACAGAGTTCAAGTCACAGACAAATATCAACATCAACTGTTCAGAGGGATAAGGGATATGGCCTCTTTTTTGGACAAAATAACATGGGAACATATTGCCAATGGGCAAAATGTCAGTGCTGAATGTGGATGTGGTGCAGGAATCAGGCGCAGGACACAGAGGCTTCGTCCAACAGACTTTAGTAACGATACGAAAACAAACGGGCCTCAAAAAGAGCCCGGAGGCAAGTGAAATTACGCACACACTGCGTAAAACACAAAGTACCAAAAATAGCGCGCACACAAGTACGGAAACTCTCTCCAAAACAATGGAGGAAACTAACTCAGCATCCGCTGACCGGAGAACAATTACACACAACACATGACTAAAACAACGAGAACTTATAGGACACATAATAAACACTAAACGGAAACAGGTGTACCAATAAGACAAAACCAAACAAACATCGAAAACATACAACGGTGGCAGCTAGTACTCCGGGGACGACGACCGCCGAAGCCTGCCCGAACAAGGAGGAGGAGCAGCCTCGGCCGAAACCGTGACCCAAAACATACACACAATTAAAAATACCACTCAAATGCCGGCATTTGCCATAGAACATATTGCAAATGTCATATGGCAAATGCCAACGTAGTAACTCAAAAATCCTGTAGGGGGTGAGCTCACTTAATCTTACGTAAGCATGTTGCAAATGTACTCGAAAGTCAAATTTGAGGGTGGAAATGAGTGTTCGTAAAAACTTCTCAATTATACATTATTAAAGAACCGTATGGATATAGATTTGTTTTATTATATGTTGGTTTGTCCATTAGGCCTATGGAATGTCCATATCAGGCATGTTACACTGCCAAATGGACAAGTTGTCCATTTGTCACACATTATATTGCAAATGGACAAAGTGTACTTTTGTCACATCGGATCACAGGAAGTCGGGTTCTGGACCCAAAAGTCAGAACCATGTCCAAATGGCATATGAAACATACAAATTATATATATAATGTCCAAATGTCATATGAAATGTCCAAATGTCATGTGAAATGTCCAAATGGCATATTATAAATGTCCAAATGGCATATTAAATGTCCAAATGGCATATGTAAGTCTTGAAAGTACCAAATCAGTATGTCATGTCCATTTGCCAGATATGATCATAGGAAGTCAGTTCCAAAGCCAAAGTAAGTGAACCATGTCCAAATGGCCTGTATAATGACAAAATTGTATATATATATATATATATATATATATATATATATATATATATATATATATATATATATATATATATATATATATCAGTATGTTAGGTTCCACTCCCTCAATAGTTGGTGTTGAGTGCAGCCTGTCCATTTGGTGATGGTAAATCACTGCTTAAACAGTGTCCATTTGCAATATGATACATTGCCAGTGCTAATATGTTATACTGGACATGTTGGCACTGGCAATACATCACATGACAAATGGACACTGTCCAATTACAGTACAACATGTTAAGACTGGCATGTACAAAAAGTCCATTAGCAATGTCCAGTATGAGTCAAACAGACATAGTGGTTCCTCTCCCCTCAATAGTTGGTTTTGAATTCAGCCTGTCCATTTGGTGAAGGTAAATCACTGCTTAAACAGTGTCCATTTGCAATATGATACATTGCCAGTGCTAATATGTTATACTGGACATGTTGGCACTGGCAATACATCACATGACAAATGGACACTGTCCAATTGCAGTATAACATGTTAAGACTGGCATGTACAAAAAGTCCATTAGCAATGTACAGTATGAGTCAAACAGACATAGTGGATCCTCTCCATCAATAGTTGGTTTTGAGTTCAGCCTGTCCATTTGGTGATGGTAAATCACTGCTTAAACAGTGTCCATTTGCAATATGATACATTGCCAGTGCTAATATGTTATACTGGACATGTTGGCACTGGCAATACATCACATGACAAATGGACACTGTCCAATAGCAGTATTACATGTTAAGACTGGCAATGAATTATGGGTAATAGCAATATCTTACAATGGATCATGAATTGGACATGCTGTAATTTGCTATTACAAAGCTGAATTGCCCAAATGTAAAGCTCACTGAACTCGTGATGGCCTAGAAGTGATAGTGGGTCCTCTCCCTTACTCATTGGTGTTGATTTCAGCATGTCCATTTGGCTGATAATAAATGCCCATTGAAATGTATTGCAAATGTACTTGTCCGTTTGCAATATGAAATACAGCCATTGCCAGTATAACATATTGGCATTGGCAATGTTTCATATGGCAAATGGACCTTGTATGTTTGCCATATGAAACATTGCCAATGCCAGTATAACATATTGGCATTGGCAATGTTTCATATGGCAAATGTACAAGTACATTTGCAATATGTTTGAATGGGCTTTTATTATGAGCCAAATGGACATGCTGTAATATGCTCTTACAAAGCTGAAATGGACAAATGTAAAGCTTACTCAACTGGGGCTGGCCAAGAAATGATAGTGGATCCTCTCCATTACTCATTGGTGTTGATTTCAGCATGTCCATTTGGTAATGGTCAGTCACTGCTTAAACATATGACTAATGGACAGTCTCCATCATAATATGACTGGTAATGAATTATGTGTAATGGACACTGTCCAATAGCAATATCTACAATGGGCATTTAAACCACCAATTGGACATGCTGTAACATAGTCTTACAAAGCTTAAAAGCCAAATTTTCAAGATTATTGAACTCGGGCTGGCCAACGAATGATAGTGGATCCTCTCCCCTTACTCATTGGTGTTGATTTCAGCATGTCCATTTGGCTCATAATAAAGGCCCATTCAAACATATTCCAAATGTACTTGTACGTTTGCCATATGAAATACAGCCAATACCAGTATAACATGTTGGCATTGGCAATGTTTCATATGGCAAATGTACAAGGTCCATTTGCCATATGAAATACAGCCAATGCCAGTATAACATATTGTCATTGGCAATATTTCATATGGCAAATGTACAATGTCCATTTGCCATATGAAATACAGCCAATGCCAGTATAACATATTGGCATTGGCAATGTTTCATATGGCAAACGTACAAGTACATTTGGAATATGTTTGAATGGGCCTTTATCATCAGCCAAATGGACATGCTGAAATCAACACCAATGAGTAAGGGAGAGGATCCACTATCATTTGTTGGCCCGCCCGAGTTCAATAATCTTGAAAATTTGGCTTTTAAGCTTTGTAACAGCATGTTACAGCAAGTACAATTGGTGATAATAAATGCCCATTGAAATGTATTGCAAATGGACTTGTACGTTTGCCATATGAAACATTACCAATGCCAGTATGTTACAGTGGCACAGGCTGTATTTCATATGGCAAACATACAAGTCCATTATAACGACACTCGGCTGTTGGATTCTGTTAAAGCTGTTGCACCCTTGTGGCCCAGCTGACTTCCATGCAGGCCCACATTGACCTTGTGACCTCTGGAGCTCCATGTCTCTAATTGTGCACTCCCTGCCTGTTCAAAAGACAACTCCCATGGGCCTGAGAGTACAGCTTACCCACTTGGAACTCCAGAGGGACAGCAGGCCAAAAGAAAGGGGGGAGAGAGTGGCCAGCCTCCACAGGGGCTGCCTGCTCTGCCTTAACTGCCCCCCTGTTGGACAGTTTCACTCTCATACACACAGACACACACAGACAGACACAGACACACACAGACACACACACACACACACACACACACACACACACACACACACACACACACACAGACACACACAGACACACACAGACAGACATAGACACACACAGACAGACACAGACAGACACAGACAGACAGACAGACACAGACAGACACACCTATTAACTTTGGCCTTCTCCCTCATGCCCTGCTGACTTCCATGCAGGCCCACATTGACCTTGTGACCTCTGGAGCTAAATGCCTCTATTTCTACACTCCCTGCCTAGTAAAATACATCTTCAATTGGCCTGAGAGTACAGCTTACTCTCTGGACTTCAGAGAGTGTCCAGCCTCCACAGGGGCTGCCTGCTCTGCCCCCGTGTAGGACAGTTTCACTGTCATACACACAGACACACACAGACACACACAGACAGACACAGACACACACAGACATACACAGACACACCTATTCACTTGGGCCTTCTCCCTGTGGCCCTGCTGACTTCCATGCAGACCCACATTGACCTTGTGACCTCTGGAGCTCCATGCATCTTGTTCTAAACTCTCAGCCTATTAAAACCCTCTCTCCCATGGGCCTGAGAGTGCAGCTTACTGTCTGGACCTCAGAGAGTGACCAGCCTCCACAGGGGCTGCCTGCTCTGCCCCCCTGTAGGACAGTTTCTCTCACACACACAGACACACACAGACACACCTATTCACTTGG